GCTCTAAGACCTGCGATGGTCTCCCTGCCCAGACACCTTTCCTGGGGGCCTCGTTCGGGCCCCACGCGTCAGCCAGCTTAGTCCAGCGGTGAGCACAGCCTCCGTTGCCGTGAGTGCCTGTTTGTACCCGCTCGCGCCATGCCTTATTAGCGGTCCGTTTTTTTCCAAATCAATCTCCTGGCCCAGACGCCTTTTAATATCGTCCAAAACGTGGTCCAACACCTGTCTTCCATGGGTAAAATCCAGGACCTCGGCCCCCACGTCCAGGGTCAGGAAATTTAGTCTCTGGTGGGTATCCTCTAGGCACTCGCGGAGCGTATCTCGCAAAACTCGCTCGGCGGCTCCACTAGGCACGCGGTGATGGCGAGGGCGTTTGTATCTAGCTTCTCAAGCTGGAAGTAGAACTACTGCACGACATTCCGAAGCCAGCTGAGAGGGGCGGCGTGCGACTTCCAGGAAACGCAGTGCCCCTTCAAAAACTGCTTCGCTTTAACCAGTTTCACACGAGGGGGCAGGCTCTCGATCCAGAGCTGCCTTTCAAAGCAGTACCGGTTAACCCTGCAATCGTAACCGCCAGGTCCCTGGCCAGGAAACGATAAACTTCGTCGAGCAAACCTAGCTTCTCCCCCTGGGTCGGCTTCTCGAGGCCCCTGCTCAAGATGGATCTGGCGGCGTCTAGGGCGGCTTCTGTGGCAAGCCAGTCTCTGCCAGGCAACTTGGGGCCCAGCACGGGCTTGGTGGGCAGTCTCTGCAGCTTGCGCAGAATCAGGACTACGAAGTCCTCGCCAAACCCGAGCAGCACACTAACAAGCATATGTGGAGGGAGAGGGTAGGATACATGCACATGCGGTGTGTGAAGTACATGTTGTAAGCACCCACTAAATTCAACTTAGTCCAAACGCGCCTGTGAGGTTTTGGCCCTGCATGTCGGGGGGGGGGGGGGGGGGGGGGGGTGGGGGGGGGTGGGGGGGAGTATTATCTGCAGGTCTGCTCGCTGCAAGAAGCCGCTCCTCTGCAGCTTGCTGGGGCTCATGTTGTAGCCCCCTGCTATGAGAATGGGCATCTGACACTCGTTCTGAAGGATGGCGGTGGCCGCCAGCAAATTCAAATTAGTCTCATTCAGGCCTGTGCTGACGTGCATGTGCACGGAGAGAATTCCTGCGACACCAAGCCCAGGCAGCTCTACTCTGGCTCCGACAAGTCGCCCCTTCGGCACAGCGTCCTGGACTGCCCTGGGCACTTTCATATCCTGGATCCGAAAATCCAAACCGCTCCTGATCAAAATGTGAACTCCAGGGGTCGGGGTCCCCGTAGAGCTGCATGCGCCTGTCAAATAAGGCTTCCCATCCATGACGCTCGAACCACTGGCTAGCATAAACAGTGGCCTGCCCAGTGCACAACTTGGTCTCCTGCGCGCATGCGACACTGTCGGCTGCCGAGGTAGGCGAGAGCAAGTACGTCTTCACCTGCTGCCAGCAGCTGCCACTGATGGCGGCGATGCGGATGTAACCCGCGTGACTGGCTCGTAGCCACTGGGGCAACTGTAACCTTCGCCGAGAAATTGAGCTTCTTGCTGGCCTCTTCGCCGCTGGGCTCGGCCTTCGTGAGGGTGCCCTGGCTGCTCTGGAGCACGTCGACGGCGCGCTTGCGAGCAGCCTCCATAGCTTCGTCATCTCCTGGGACTGGTTGGGCAATGTGGCTGGCCACCTGTTCGCCCTCTGGATCCTCGCCCGTCTTGGGGAAGTGGTCTCCGTCTCCTCCGCGTACTTCTTCTTCTTCTGGCGGAGTCGGCTGCCGCTGCGTCGTCGGGGAGCCCCCTTCTGGCGCAGCTGGCTCGGCAGCCGCGGCCTCGTTCCTCTGCTGTTGCTCGATTGTCTCAAGCACCTTCGCCATGGCCAGTAGGCGCTGGTCCAGTTATGAGGGTATGTGGTCCAACGGCTTGTCGATCCTCGTCGCGATGAGTGGGCGCATGGCTTCGGACAGAGGTACCTCCTGCACAGCCTTCTGCGCAGCAGCTCTCTGTGCCACTCGCAGCTGCGTCTGCAGCCTCTGCACTTCACTAGCCATGTGAGAGTATTCGTCCAGAGCGAGCTTGTGTTTGTCGGCCACCGTGACCAGCTGCGGGGTGAGCTGGTTGACCGTGTTCTTGCACTGCACATGCTTCCTCTTGGCCTGCGCCAGCTGGTCCGTGAGGCTCTGGACTTGTTGATCTGGAGTCTTGTCCTGTAGCGCGGCCTGCTTGGCTCTCTTGGGTCCTTTGATCGCATATCGGTGTTCCTTGCTGGAATATCCTTTCCACTGCTTTCAGAAAGCCACCTGCGCCTCCGCGAGCTCGATGGCCGAGTCGTATGTGTCCTGGGACTTGGGGCCGTCGGTGATATTGTCGGTGGTGGTGGCGTCGCCACTGAGGACGGCAGTGGGGCCAGCTCCATGTTGTGGTTCTCGTGAACGTCCGCGCCAGCGTCCTCCTCGCCCGCCAATTTTCTGAGCTGGTTCGCGTTCGCCTGTGAATGATACTGCTCGCTGACGTCCATGCCGCCCTCCTCCACCAACACCTGGGGGCGGTTCATCAGCGTGGGATGTCTTCGTCTGGGAGAGCTTCGAGCCACACTTAGTGCAGTGAGTCGCTCCCCTGTCAGCCCAGGCCCAACCGCTGCAGGCCTGCCATGGGCATACGAGATACCTGCCGCGCGCCATGCCGCTTCCTTCAGGAACACTAGTCCTGTCCCGAAAAGACGTAGTGCAAGAAGGCCCCTCTGGCTGGGCGCGCGGTCCACGCACTGTCGTGGACGGAACGCTGTGTGAAAGAATGGGCCGCCGCGGCCAGCTCGCCTCGAGCCAGCCCCTCGGCAGCGGACAAGTACGAAGCCGCAGGGCCACGGTTTCGTACTTGAGCCAAATGGCTACGGGTGGAGGAGGAGGAGGAGGAGGAGGAGGAAGCGGAGGAGGAGGAGGAGGAGGAGGGGGAGGGGGAGGAGGAGGAGGAGGAGGGGGAGGAAGCAAGCTAGGTGCGCTCGCGTCATATCTGACGTCCTACCCCTCCCTCCCTCCCATCCCTTACCATGGCGCTGATTTTCTCTATCCGCGGACGTGTGTCGTAGCGGACCTGTGGCTCCGCGAGCGCGCGTGCGTAGTGGGTGGTGGTGCGCGTGCGTGCGTGCGTGCGTGTGTGTGCGTGGTTGTGGTGGTGGTGGTGGTGGTGGTGGTGGTGGTGGTGGTGGTGGTGGTGGTGGTGGTGGTTGGTGGTGCTGGTGGTGCTGGTGGTGTGGTGGTGTGGTGTGGTGGTGGTGGTGGTGGTGGTGGTGGTGGTGGTGGTGGTGGTGGTGGTGGTGGTGGTGGTGGTGGTGGTGGTGGTGGTGGTGGTGGTGGTGGGTGGTGGTGGTGGTGGTGGTGGTGGTGGTGGTGGGTGCGGCGCGGTGGTGGCGGGCGGATGGGCGCGCGAGAAAGAGGCCCGCGCTGGGGCGAGAACGCCATCCTGAACGACGGAGGCCAAACACCGATCCGAAAATGAGGCCCACGCTGCAGCGGGAGCACGATTCGGAACGATTCGGGAGCAGAAATGAGGCCGGCGCCTCAGCGAGAGCAGAATTTTGAAAAAAACGCAAGCGAAAACCCAACTCCCGGGAATCCTGTGCGTAAAAAACAGTACGCGGGGGGGGGGTCGGCCACTCCCAGCACGCCATCAGGGGAAGAGGGAGAGTAGTATTCATATTGAGTAATTGTAGATGGAGGAGGATGAGGAGGAGGAGGAGGAGGAGGAGGGGGAGGGAGAGGAGGAAATGGAGGAGGAGGAGGAGGAGGAAAAGGAGGAGGACGGGTCGTTTAAGCCCTTCGGAGAAACCCTCCGCCTCGCCGAGAGCGTTCTGGGGGTGCCCCGATCGTCCCGAACGGCCGCGGGAGACCCGTGTTGTGGCCTGAAAGCTGAGAACGACGACCTCTGTTTTGGGGGTGGGGGCTGGGGGAACACGTCGACCTGGAACCGGCGACGCGTCGCCGACAGATCCGCGAGAGGGCCCCCAGTGGCGACGCGTCACGTGCCTGGGCGGGGTGGGCCCTCGGGCCCATATCGGCGACCAACGACTGTGGGTCGATGCAGCCCCTCTGAGCCTACGGTGAACAACTTTTGCTTGGCGTGCCGCGGCGGCGGCGGCCCTGCGACACGCCATGCCTTGCGAGCGGGAAGCGTGTCGCTCCGCTCCGCGGGGCTGGTCGCGCCGAAGCGTAGTGGGCCAGAACCGGCGGCGCAACACGCTGAGCCAAAAGTTCCCGAGCCTTTCCTGGGAACCGCGCGTGCACACTAAGGTATTGGGGCCCTGTCCCATGGGGCTTCGACAAAAACGCCACAAGACAACGTATCGTATATGATTTTCTGGTCCGCTCTCCGGTCGACATGTGTTGACAAATATATAAACGCTGTGTATGGGCCGCCATTTGCCGCTACGGCGAGAACATTGCATAAGGAACCATTGAATAAAGAATCCAGGGTCTGGAAGCCAGTGGAGCACAAGCTGAGGCCTGACCATGGAACTCACTGCGTCCCTCATGACAGAAAGAATCCTCCAAGGTCTGACGACTCCTGGGCACATTCCTTCACGAACGCCCCCACCTTAAATCGGGGAGACGTAAGACTCGGGTACGGGGGGACTCGGGTTGACCTGACGGGACCATCATACAAATGACGAGACCTAATCTCAAATTCGACACGAGCTCCCACGTCGGCAAACCCGAGTTCCGGCTTACTCGAGTCTTACGTTGTCCCGACAAATTATGGTGGACCCAGAGCCGCCGCGCCTCTCACCGGGCCCTCCGCGGCGCCACAGGGGGGAGTCCTCCTCCTCCTCCTCCTGCTCATCCTCCTCTTCCTCCTCCTCCTCTTCCTCCTCCTCCTCCTCCTCCTGCTCCTCCTGCTCCTCCCCCTCCTGGTCGTCGTCGATGTCTTTCGGGGTCGGCGGCACCAGCCTTCAGGCCTTCACAGTATGGTGGGCCCAGAGCCGCCGCGCCTTTCACGGGGCCCTCCGCGGCGCCACCGGCGGCAGGAGCACGGGCGGCATGGCTGCGTTGGCGGTGCCCGGGAGGGCGGCCGGGGCGCGGCGCCGCGCGCCCCGCTTGCGCGAGAGAGACAGGAAGAGAGAGAGAGAGAGAGGGAGAGGGAGAGGAAGGGAGTAAGAGAGAGAGAGAGGGCCAATATGCCCCTGAGAGGCATCACAAGGGACACTCATATGAATCCAAGCGTCTCCTGACCCACGTGACGGGTTGGCCCGGAGGCCGCTAGACACTAACTGACTTCCACGGTTCTTGAAAGTTCTACTCTTATGAACTCCTTCTGGGCGTCGGCAGAATGGTGTAAGCTACTTGTAGATCGAGAAAGAGAGAGAGAGAGAGAGAGAGAGAGAGAAAACAAAACAAAAACAAACAAAAAAAAAGAGACAGACAGTCAGTCAGTCAGTCAGACAGACAGACAGACACAGACAGAGAGGTAACGATCTATACACATATATGTATATCCGCTGGCCCCCTTGTGGGGCCACCAGGCTGTAGGCGCGGGTTCGCAGTTCCCTGTACCAGTTGTAGCTTGTAGTTTCCAGTGTTGCAGTTATGCTTCTTGCTGGTTACTGTAACTAGTTGATTGACCGCGCGAGGGGGGGGGAGGCCCAAACCGGCTTTTTAGCACCTCCTGGGCGCGTTGTCTGAATTGCTGGGCGGGCTCGAAATCGACACCCCTCACACAGATCGGCGGGGTCAGGGTCCAAAAACACACGGGATTTGCCACATTTCTAAAATTCGGCGCCACCCCTCACGCAGATCCGCAGGGGCAGGGTCCAAAAACACATGGGATTTGCCACATTTCTGAAATTCGGTGCCACCCCTCACGCAGATCCGCGGGGTCAGGGTCCAAAAACACACGGGATTTGCCACATTTCTGAAATCCGGTGCCACCCCTCACGCAGATCCGCGGGGTCAGGGTCCAAAAACACAAGGGATTTGCTACATTTCTGAAATTCGGTGACACCCCTCACGCAGATCCGCGGGGTCAGGGTCCAAAAACACACGGGATTTGCCACATTTCTGAAATTCGGTGCCACCCATCATGCAGATCCGCGGGGTCAGGGTCCAAAAACACATGGGATTTGCCACATTTCTGAAATTCGGTGACACCCCTCACGCAGATCCGCGGGGTCAGGGTCCAAAAACACAGGGGATTTGCCACATTTCTGAAATTCGGTGCCACCCCTCACGCAGATCCGCGGGGTCAGGGTCCAAAAACACAAGGAATTTGCCACATTTCTGAAATTCGGTGCCACCCCTCACGCAGATCCGCGGGGTCAGGGTCCAAAAACACAGGGGATTTGCCACATTTCTGAAATTCGGTGCCACCCTTCACGCACATCCATCGCAAGGCGTGGTAACCCAAACTGCGAGAACTCCCTCGGCCCTTTAATCGCAAGGTGTGGTAACCAAGCCCGTAAACCATACACGTCTTACCACTCGCCAGGTGTGGTAACCCCTCTTGTGATCAGTTGGTTTTGCTGATTGCGAATCGGCTTCGCATGAAGTTTCGATACTGCTTCACGACAGCGCCAAGGCCTCATGACTTAGCTTTCCATGGCCCATTCTCCGAGAGAGGGGGCCGGCGACAGGGGGCGAGCCCTTACGGATATTATATATATATATATATATATATATATATATATATTATACATATATATATGTATATATATATACATATATATATATACACATATATACAGATATATACACATATATACACATATATACACATATACACATATATATACAGATACGAAGACAGAGAGAGAAAGATAAAGAGGGAGCGGCGAGCCGCGCTCCCGGCCACGGCGCGCGCACCCGCGGCGGGAGCCCGCGCCCGGGGCGCAGAAGGAGGGCCGGCCGGGACAGCGGCGCTCCCCTGGCCCCTCCCCCCCTCTCCTCTCTGGACCTCCTGGAGGGCAGGGCCCCCCAAACCAGGACACTTCTCCTCCTCCTCCTCCTCCTCCTGCTCCTCCTGCTCCTCCCTCCTCTCCTCCTCCCTCCTCCCTCCTCCTCCTCCTCTTTCTCTCCTCCACTCTCCTCCTCCTCCTCTCCTCCTCCTGCTCCTCCTCCTCCTCCTCCTCCTCCTGCTCCTCCTGCTCCTCCTCCTCCTCCTCCTCCTCTGGTCGGGAACTTGTGCATAGCGTGTCGCGGCGGCGGCGGACCTGGCGACACGCCATACTGCAAGCGGGAAGCGTGTCGCTCCGCTCCGCGGAACGGGCTGCCAAACACAGCTCGGGACGCTGACGCTCGGGAATGGGGCCGTGGACGGCGTTTCGCGCCGAAGCGTGGTGGGCCAAAACAGGCGGAGCGATACGCTAAGCCAAAATTCCTGACCGCAGTCAATGAGGACTTTGAGAGTTCCACCTGGGGAGCACAGTTTTCCGTGCTCCCCAGGTGGAACGAGAGGAGGGTGAGGATGAGGAGGAGGAGGAGGAGGAGGAGGAGGAGGAGGAGGAGGAGGAGGAGGAGGAGGAGGAGGGGGAGGAGGGGAGGAGCTGCTGCTGCTGCTGCTGCACACGGCTGTTGGACATGAGTGTAAATACGAACTGTCTCTCTCTCTCTCTCTCTCTCTCTCTCTCTCATGAATTACACGAGCGCGTATATACACGTGCAGACGGAGGAGGAGGAGGAGGAGGAGGAGGAGGAGGAGGAGGAGGAGGAGGAGGAGGAGGAGGGGGAGGAGCTGCTGCTGCTGCTGCATACGGCTGTTGGACATTAGTGTAAAGACGAACTCTCTCTCTCTCTCTCTCTCATGAATTACACGAGCGTGTATATACACGTGCAGACGGAGGAGGAAGAGAAGGAGGAGGAGGCCTCGACCCACGGCTGCAGTGCAGTTTTCTCGGGCGCGCGAGTGTCCCAGTTGATCCACATCCCCGTCCAAAAACCCCCGAGGAAACTTCCCGTCGCTGCGGCCGGACCCGCCTCGAAGGGCGGGCCATGATGGGCCACGGGCGAGTTGAGACAGCGGCGGCTCGGAATCGCTCCCCGGGCTTCTCTCCCGGGGTCGACACGCACCAGTGTTCCCGAGCCGCGTCCAGCCTCGGCGACGAGGGGGCCGCCCGAAGGCCAGCTACCGCTGCCTCAACTCGCCCCTTTCTGAGAGGGGCCCGGGGGCCAAATCCCGACCGGGTTTGGGCCGTCGCTGCCTCGGCCGGCCTTCCTACGAAGGACGCGGGGCAGGGGGGGGAGAGGGGGCGCCCGGCCCGCTCCCGCGGCGGCGGCGGCCGGTTAGCCGAAGCCCACCGGGCCCAGGAGGAGGTATGCCTTCGCGAAGATCACCGCGGCCAGCAGGACCTGGCAGCGGTGAGGGACCACCCGCTGCGCACCCCCTATGGTGTCGAGAAAGTGCCACGCCTGCTATGCCCTGGACGACGGTCGTGTATAGCGGCCGCGGTGAGGAACCACCCCCTGCGCACCCCCAGTGGTGTCGAGAAAATGCTACGCCTGCTATGGCCTGGACGACCGTCGTGTATAGCGGCCGCGGTGAGGGACCACCCCCTGCGCACCCCCAGTGGTGTCGAGAAAATGCCACGCAGAAAATGCCACGCCTGCTATGCCCTGGACGACCGTCGTGTATAGCGGCCGCGGTGAGGGACCACCCCTTGCGCACCCCTTTATGGCGTCGAGAAAATGCAACGCCTGCTATGCCCTGGATGGCCGTCGTGCATAGCGGCCGCGGTGAGGGACCACCCCCTGCTCACCCCCTCATGGTGTCGAGAAAATGCCACGCCTGCTATGCCCTGGACGACCGTCGTTTATAGCGGCCGCGCTGAGGGACCACCCCCTGCGCACCCCCTTTATGGTGTCGAGAAAATGCCACGCCTGCTATGCCCTGGACGACCGTCGTGTATAGCGGCCGCGGTGAGGGACCCCCCCTTGCGCAGCCCTTTATGGCGTCGAGAAAATGCAACGCCTGCTATGCCCTGGACGACCGTCGTGCATAGCGGCCGCGCTGAGGGACCACCGCCTGCTCACCCCCCTATGGTGTCGAGAAAGTGCCACGCCTGCTATGCCCTGGACGACCGTCGTGTATAGCGGCCGCGGTGAGGGACCACCCCTTGCGCACCCCTTTATGGCGTCGAGAAAATGCAACGCCTGCTATGCCCTGGACGACCGTCGTGCATAGCGGCCGCGCTGAGGGACCGCCCCCTGCGCACCCCCTTTTATGTCGAGAAAATGCCACGCCTGCTATGCCCTGGACGACCGTCGTTTATAGCGGCCGCGGTGAGGGACCACCCCCTGCGCACCCCCTATGGTGTCGAGAACATGCTACGCCTGCTATGGCCTGGGCGACCGTCGTGTATAGCGGCCGCGATGAGGGACCACCCCCTGCGCACCCCCAGTGGTGTCGAGAAAATGCCACGCCTGCTATGCCCTGGACGACCGTCGTGCCTAGCGGCCGCGGTGAGGGACCAACCCCTGCGCACCCCCTATGGTGTCGAGAAAATGCCACGCCTGCTATGCCCTACGACCGTCGTGCATAGCGGCCGCGGTGAGGGACCACCCCCTGCGCACGCCCGTACGGTGTCGAGAAAACGCCACGCCTGCTATGGCCTGGACGACCGTCGTGTATAGCGGCCGCGCTGAGGGACCAACCCCTGCGCACCCCCGACGGTGTCGAGCAAATGCCACGACTGCTATGCCCTGCTGTGCTGAGCTGAGCTGTGTTGTGTTGTGCTTTGCTGTGCTGTGCTGAGCTGAGCTGAGCTGAGCTATGCTGAGCAGTGCTGTGCTGTGCTGTGCTGGGCTGTGCTGCGCTGTGTGAGAAGGGGAAGAGGGAGGTGGGGTGAGTGAGCGCGGGTGCGACGAGGCATGGAAGAAAACCCAAACCCCACTAAGCATGTGGGGAAGAAAACCATAACCCCACTAAGCATGTGGGGAAGGGTGTGCGAGGTGTTGTTCGTGGGTGAGGGAGTGTATGTCTGTCTGTGTGTGTTTGTGTCTGTGTGTGTGTGTCTGTGTGTCTGTGTGCATGTGTCTGTGTCGATGTGCCTGTGCATGTATGCATGCATGTCACGTCTGCCACGCTTTGCGGGAGAAGGAGGCGTGCTCGGGTGAGACGCGGGTGCGACGCGGCAAGGAAGAAAACTCAAACCCCACAAACATGTGGGGAAAAACGGTTCCCAACACATATTATCTTTATTGTTTAATGTGGCTTTCGGCTCC